GAGAAGTTGGAAGGAGACAGAAGAGAAGGAAAGGACTATGTAGTAGGAACAATTCAGACTCTGGGCTCCAGGTTAGTGATTGCAGTGATGCATAACCCACCAGAGAATAGCAGAAGGCCAATACGTTAATATGATGAGAACAACACAGCAAGTGTTGATGGCCAGAGGCGATGGATAAGGTGGCCTAAAGCCACATAGGCAGAACAAAATTACTAGTTGTGGATGACTTCAATCACAAGGAAATTGGCTGGGAAAACCTGGAGCAATATCAGGGACCAGAAATGTGGAGGGCTAAGGTGATGGAGGTGGTACTTGAAAACCTTATGCATCAACAAGTTAGGGACACTACCAGAGAGAGAGAGGAGAGGATGAATCAGCATAACTGGACTTCATATTCACCTCAGCAGTTCAGACATTGAGAATATCACACAGGAAAGGCCTCTTGGAGCTAGTAATCACATAGTCCTGAGTTTTCAGGGGAAGCACGAAGAGTAGGTCAGGAGAAGCCTAACTACAAAAGAGGCGACTACACGGGTATGAGGAATTTCCTACAGGAGGTTCAGTGGAAAGAGAGCTGGTGGGAAAATCAGTAAATGAAGTGATGAACTACATGACAACAAAATGCAAGGAGGCAGAGGAGAGGTTCGTACCCAGGGCAACACAAATAATGGGAAGCCCAGAACGAGCCATTGGTTCATCCCAAGGTGTAGAGAGGCCAAACATAAGTGCGCTAGAGAATGGAAAAAATATAGAAGACAAAGGACCCAGGAAAATAAGGAGATTAGTCAAAGAGCCAGAAATGATTATGCATGGATAAGGAGAGAGGCCTAAAGGCAATATGAAAATGACATAGCATCGAAAGCCAAGACTGACCCGAAGCTATTGTACAGCCACATCAAGAGGAAAACAACAGTCAAGGATCAGGTAATCAGGCTGAGGAAGGAAGGAGGGGAGATCACAAGAAACGACCGAGAAGTATGTGAAGAGCTCAACATGAGATTTAAGGCAGTATTTTCAGTGGAGATAAATAGGACACCAGAAAGTCGAAATGGAGGGGTACACCAACAAGTGCTGGACACAATACACACAACCAAGGAGGTGAAAAAGCTGCCTCAAAGGCAGTGGGACTGGACAACATCTCTCCATGAGTCCTGAGAGAAGGAGCGGAAGCGCTGTGTGTGCCACTAACGACATCATTCAGCACATCTATAGAAACAGGGTGATACAATCTTCCCACCCAGATATCAGATCCTGAGGAAGGATAGAAGGAGCAGGGGGGGGGAGGAGGGGTTGCACTTCTAATAAAAAACTGGTGGGGTTATCAAGAAATGGAAGGTATGGACGAGACTAGAGAAATGGATTACATAGTAGTTAGAGTTCAGTCAGGGAAACACAAGGTAGTCATTGCAGTGATGTATAACCCACCACAGAACTGCAGGAGGCCAAGAGAGGAATATGATGAGTGCAACAGAGCAATGGTGGACACTCTAGCTGAGGTGGCAAGAAGGGCTCACTCAAGTAGAGCGAAGTTACTGGCCATGGGCGACTTCAATCACAGGGAAATTGATTGGGAAAACCTGGAGCCACATGGGGGTCCCAAAACATGGAGAGCCAAGATGATGGATGTGGTGCTGGCAAATCTCATGCACCAACATGTTAAGGATACTATCAGAGAAAGAGGGGAGGATGAACCAGCAAGACTGGACCTCATGTTCACCCTGAGTAGCTCAGACATTGAGCACATCACATATGAAAGGCCCCTTGGAGCTAGTGACCACATAGTTATGAGCTTTGAATAAATCGTGGAGCCAGAAGTGGAGAGGGTAACAGGAGTAGAAAGGGAAAAGATAAACTATAAAAGGAGGGAATACACAGGAATGAGGAGTTTCCTGTAGGAGGTTCAGTGGGAACAAGAGTTGGTAGGAAAAATCAATAAATGAAATGATGGACTTAGTAACTACAAAATGCAAGGAGGCAGAGGAAAGGTTTGTTTCCAAGGGTAACAGAAATAATGGGAAGGACAGAACAAGCCCTTGGTTTACCCGAAGGTGCAGGGAGGCAAAAACTAAGTGCTCTAGAGAATGGAGAAAGTACAGAAGGCAAAGGACTCAGGAGAATAAAGAGATAAGTCAACGAGCCAGAAACGAGTATGCACAGATAAGAAGGGAAGCGCAGCGGCAGTATGAAAATGACATAGCATCGAAAGTCAAGTCTGACCCAAAACTACTCTACAGCCACATCAGGAGGAAGACAACAGTCAAGGACCAGGTAATCAGGCTTAGGAAAGAAGGTGGGGAGCTCACAAGAAATGACCAGGAGGTATGTGAGGAGCTCAACATGAGATTTCAGGAAGTATTTACAGTGGAGGCTGAAGGGACAATGGGAAGACAAAACAGTGGGGTACAACAACAAGGGATATACTAACAAGCATTGGATGAATTACAAACAACTGAGGAGGAGGTGGAGAAGCTCCTAAGTGACCTTGATACCTCAAAGGCGGTGGGACCAGACATCTCTCCGTGGGTCCTTAGAGAGGGAGCAGGGACACTACGTGTGCCACTAACCAAAATCTTCAACACTTTCCTTGAAACTGGGCAACTACCTGAAGTATGGAAGAAGGCAAATGTAGTCCCCATCTTTAAGAAGGGAGACAGAAATGAAGCATTAAATTATAGACCAGTGTCACTGACATGTATAGTATGCAAAGTCTTGGAAAAGATTGTCAGGAGGAGAGTGGTGGAGCAATTGGAGCAGAAGAAAATTATAAACGACAGCCAGCACGGATTCATGGAGGGCAAATCCTGTGTCACAAACCTACTAGAGTTTTATGACAAGGTAACTGAAGTAAGAAATGAGAGGGAGGGGTGGGTTGATTGCATTTTCTTGGACTGCAAAAAGGCCTTCGACACAGTTCCTCACAAGAGATTAGTACAGAAGCTAGAGGAACAGACACGTATAACAGGAAGGGCACTGCAATGGATCAGAGAATACCTAACAGGGAGGCAACAGCGAGTCATGGTCCGTGATGAGGTATCATAGTGGGCGCCAGTGACGAGCGGGGTCCCAGAGGGGTCAGTCCTGAGACCAGTGCTATTCTTGGTATATGTGAACGACATGACGGAAGGGATAGACTCAGAAGTGTCCCTGTTTGCAGATGACGTGAAGTTAATGAGGAGAATTAAATCAGACGTGGACCAGACAGGTCTACAAAGAGACCTGGACAGGCTGGATGTGTGGTCCAGAAACTGGCTCCTAGAATTTAACCCCGCCAAATGCAAAGTCATGAAGATCGGAGGAGGTCAAAGAAGACTGCAGACAGAGTATAGGCTAGGAGGCCAAAGGCTGCAAACCTCACTCAAGGAGAAAGACCTAGGAGTGAGTATAATACCGAGTACATCGCCAGAAGCACACATTAACCAGATAACTGCTGCGGCATATGGGCGCCTGGCAAACCTGAGAATAGCGTTCCGGTACCTAAGTAAGGAATCGTTCAAGACTTTATACACTGTGTACGTCAGGCCCATACTGGAGTACGCAGCACCCGTTTGGAACCCACACCTGGTCACAGACGTCAAGAAATTGGAGAAAGTGCAAAGGTTTGCAACAAGACTAGTTCCAGAGCTAAGGGGAATGTCCTATGAAGAAAGGTTAAGGGAAATCTGTCTGACAACACTGGAGGACAGGAGGGTCAGGGGAGACATGATAACGACATACAAATACTGCGTGGAATGGACAAGGTGTACAGAGACAGGATGTTCCAAAGATGAGACACAGAAACAAGGGGTCACAATTGGAAGCTGAAGACTCAGATGGGTCATAGGGATGTTAGGAAGTATTTCTTCAGTCATAGAGTAGTTAGGAAGTGGAATAGTCTGGCAAGCGATGTAATGTAGGCAGGAACTATACATAGTTTTAAGACGAGTATGATAAAGCTCATGGAGCAGGGGGAGACAGGACCTAGCAGCGGTCGGTGAAGAGGCGGGGCCAGGAGCTGAGTCTCGACCCCTGCAACCACAATTAGGTGAGTACACACGCACACACACACCAAGTGGAATAGTTTGGGAAGCGATGTAATGGAGGCAGGATCCATACATAGCTTTAAGCAGAGGTATGATAAAGCTCACGGTTCAGGGAGAGTGACCTAGTAGCGATCAGTGAAGAGGCGGGGCCAGGAGCTCGGACTCGACCCCTGCAACCTCAACTAGGTGAGTACAATTATGTGAGTACACACACACACACTCACACACACACACACACACACACACACACACACACACACACACACACACACACACACACACACACACACACACACACACACACACACACACACACTCACACACACACACAAAGTTTTGGTTTGCAAGGATTTATGCCACTACTTGCATCACAGGTGTTGCAGATTGAATGTGTTGCATTTGTTGGATATTGCATATGATGTACATGTTGCATGTGTTACTGACGCTTTGCAGATGTTACACGTGTTGCATATATTACACGTGTTGCAGATGTTACACGTGTTGCAGATGTTACACGCGATGGAGATGTTGCTTATGTTGCAATATCTGGAATCGTTGCAAGTGTAGCAGATGTTTCAGATACAGACTTAGAAGGTGTTGGAGGTGTTATATATTTTGCAGGTGTTACTAGTAATGCAAATGTTGCAGGTGGTGAGAACCATGCAGGTGCTGCATGTGTTGCAGGTGTTAAGACTGAAAACATTGCAAAATATATCTCTTAAATACAGTCAACATGTGATTTAACAACTGAAAATTTAGCTTAAAGTGTTAAGATACTTGGTAACTTATTTGTGACCTCTCTCTCTCTCTCTCTCTCTCTCTCTCTCTCTCTCTCTCTCTCTCTCTCTCTCTCTCTCTCTCTCTCTCTCTCTCTCTCTCTCTCTCTCTCTCTCTTCCCTAGACCTGACGGCGGAGCCTGCTACTGGCTATATCAGGAGCCGGCCCTTGACCCGTCTCTCTCTCTCACTCTCTCTCCCTCAGCGTGAAGGGAGAGCCTGATGCCGGCTACATCAGGAGCCGACTCTACGTGGCTGACGCAGCTCCTGCAGACTCGGGCGTCTACTCGTGCTGGTACTGCAACTACACCAGTGACACTGTAACTGTCCACGTCCTGGCAGGTGAGTCAGGGAGCCTCAGGGGCACCCTGTACCTGCTCTCTACAGCAGTGTCACACAAGGACAGCTAGAGAAAGACAGTGGCAGCCAGGAGCTTCTAAGGGCATATTTAGCAGCTAGGGGATGCCAAAAGTAGCTAGGGGCAGCCAAGGATAACTAGCGACGAAAGGGATAAGTCAGAGTCAGGCAAAGGCAGTCAGAGGCAGCAAGGGGCAGCTCGGGGCGGAGAGGTAGCCAGGAGTAACAACGGCAGGCACGAGAGGGAAGGGCAGCTGCAAATAGGAGGGACGGCAAGGGGCAGCCAGGGAAGCCAACGTGAGCCAGGGCCACAGCTTGGGACAGCCTTGGGCAGCTCCTGGAAGCCAGGGGCATTCAGGAGCAGCAAGAGCATATAGGAATAGCCAAGGCAGCCAGGTACACTCAGTGCAGCCAGGGGCAGTTAGGAAGTAAGGGGCAGCTAGGGACAGCCAGTGCCAGCCAAGGACAGTCAGGGCAGCCAAGGGCAGCCATGGCCAGCCGGGGCAGCCAGGGGACGCCAGAAAAGCCAGTAGCAGCAAGCACCAACCAGGGCCACCCAACCAGGGGAGCAAGAGGCAGCCAGAGATACCAAGGATAATTAGGGTCAGCCAGAGGCTAGGAGTAGCATGTGTAACCTGGGGTAGCCAGGAGTAGATACAAGAGTGACATTCAAGGATCTTAACCCCTGAAGCTGGGTTAAGCCATCACTTTTCCTCTCGTCCTAGTACCACTCCTCTCTAAATCTATTCTTTTTCTATCCCATTATCCAAGCTCACCCCACAAGTGTATTTTCTATGCATAAGTCAAGTTGGATCAAGAATCTTAACAAGAAAACATTCTAGACATATATGCATCGTATGTTAGAGCCGCCCAAGAATGGGCGGCACCATCATGGGTTCCACAACACATAATACTTTACCTTCATAAAACAGGAAAAGTGCAAAGGCAAGCAATGCTCGTTGTCCAGAAAATGAAAGGAAACATTGTTAAGACATGCAAAATACTTAGGATAAACACGCAAGGTAGAATGACTAGCAGAGACAGTATTGTTATTTAAATCACTTGGAATCGCTTTAAAATGTAGGAGTCTCATTTATTTATACCTTTGCACAAGAGAGGTGCTGCTTCCAGTCCTCACTGTATAGAAACAGGTTGTATAAATTTGCATCAACCCCCTCCATGTATTCTGTGAACTTGTTCATTATTCATTGAAATGAAGAAGGGGTGCATTACTCATTCTGAGGGACTACAAGGTAGCCGAAGAGGCCATTATGAACAGTAAAAGGAGATACATTTAGTGCTCGAGGGGTGAGAGGAAACTGATAGTATCCTTGACACAATCCAGATGACTTTCCTAGGTGGCTCTTGAGACAAGGTTGATAATATAATCTATCTGAGATTGAAGATAGATCTGGTAAGGTGTCAGCATTCACCTGATGGTAATCAGCATAAATGTTGTAGATACCATCAGGTTGAGGTACAAGTACACATGGTGATGCCAGTGAACTCTCACTTCTTTCAAAAAGGCTGTGTGAAAATAGAAAAGCTATCTATTCCTGAAGAGCTTTCAGTTTAACAGGGCTAATTTTGTTTTGATCAATTAAAAGGTGTTGCTCCTTGAATATCCACTTTGACACATCAAAAAAAAAGAGAGTTGTACTCCACGTGTACCCTATCAGCATCTTTATTATCTGATAGGCATTCTCAAAATTTAACTGGAGACTGCAAAATAAGGAAGTTCTCCAGACGTACAGTTGGAGAAAAAAGTTTCCCTACACTCTGCTGGGCAGAAGTGGCATTTATCATATTAAACAGAAGAATAAAGATTTCTCAAACGAATTAACGACGATGGTGTCTGGTTGACCAAATTAGTCAGTACGTTCTGTGTGTCTATATACAAGCAGATTTATGATCTCAAATATATTAGGTGATTTAGATACTGATGGGTGTATTTTTAATCCTTTCTGTTTACAAATCTTGTCGACGTTGCAGTTTCAAAAGCATGTAGTTGTATAATGAGTTAAATCAGATTTAGAAGTGAATGTGTAGTCCAGCCCTTTGAACAATCATTCTCCAGCAAATCCAGTTATGACTGTTTTTTTGAAACGTTTTGTACTGTCATACTTCCGACTTGTTTACATTTTCTGTGACAATGAACATTTATTAAGAGCAAGACACTATATTTATTATGAGTAGACCGAATTTTCAATATCTGTAGGAGAGATGTCAGGTGACCTGACTGCTAATACAGAATGATGCAAACAGTACCTATGTTTATATTATGGATCGTAGAAAAGCGTGGGTGTATTATCTGGATGAGAGAGAGAGGCCTCTCTCTCTCTCTCTCTCTCTCTCTCTCTCTCTCTCTCTCTCTCTCTCTCTCTCTCTCTTACAGACATCTCTCACCAGCTAGTAATATCAAAGGACACTGTGAGGAGGAAGTTAACTTTTGTGATCGAGACAGATCAGGAACTTCCAAGAAAACGTCAACAGAAGAAGACAAATCTATGAAAGAATCTGCAGAAGAGAATTCATTCACTAATGCAGTAAAAATAATAAATAAAATGAATTTGAATGTGACTTACCGGGCGAATGGTAAAAGGAACAGCTGACTGATAGACACCGTGAGGCTCATCTACACTTTTCACTGCAGAACCTAGGCAAAGGAATGGGCTTTTGGAGTCGTGTTATAAACACTGATGAAAAAGCATTTTGTTTGACTTTCCATGACAAGATACACTGCTAAAGAAGGAATGGGTGCAGGTGCATCTGCACATTTCACAGATACCCTCACTCAATCCAACTTCAATAAAATAACATGTATTCCACTTTTCCAACTAGATTTGGCCATGGCAACATCTACGAAGAAGCAAGGAGAGGCCACATAATCTATAACAGGTGGAGATGGATTCATCATGGTATGGAGAGTTAGATGAGAATAAGAGATGATTTAATTCTGACAGTATCTAGAAATACTGGAGAAGATCATACTTGTCTCTGTTAGGGCCATTGTTTTCTTCTATCCTGAAAGAATCATCTTTGTGCACTATAACTGTCATGTGAATTCTACCAGGGTTGTGCAGCACTGGATCCAAGAACAGAGAGATATCGACATTTTTCAGTGTCCCAGTAAATGTTGTGACATGATTCCCATCATAAGTATCTGGGCTAACATAATGAATGTGTGAAAGCCAGAAGTGGAAAAAACTTCATGACTTACAAAGCCATGTAAGAGAAGAGTGAAGGATCCTAAGTAGGAAACCAAATTTGGTTTATAATCATGTAGCTTCCTTTCCTGAAAGGATCAGAGAGATTGTCGTTAACGAAATGGGTTGGTGGAGAAACTTATTCTTGTAATTAAAGCTTTGATAATGAACAAAGAATGTACTCCTGTATTATGTATTACATTAATATAGCCATTACAACAAAATATTTTATATATATATATATATATATATATATATATATATATATATATATATATATATATATATATATATATATATATATATATATTTCAAGCATTACAGCCTACAACAAGACATAAATGACGAATATGATACAACTGAATGAACAGAAATCCTATGAAATCATTCTTATAAATTGTCAACTACATTACCTTTACCATTTTTTATATTAATATATTAATGATAAGAAGGTAAAAATATAAATATTTTACACAATGATAAGATTGCTGATGTCTTCTTTGTGTCTGATAAACCTGCAAGACAACACGTGAATTTTGCTACTGCTATTTAACACTTAAGTCACAATAAACATTCATGTACACATGTATATATACGCAACCATCTAAGTTTTCTTTTTATTTTCTTAATAGTTCTTGTTATTTATTTCCTTTCATCTCCACGGGGATTGTAAAACACTGGTCTGTAAGACATGTTTGTCGTAAGAGGACACTGAAATGCCAAGAACAAGGGGTTAGTAACACCTGTATAAATTACTAAATGTAAAATATGAAAAACTTTATAGAGCAGAGATGTTTGAATATACAGAGATAAAGTCCAAACGATAAGAAAGAGATAGTTGGGAATGTTATGAATGAAAAGAAGCTGGATGTTCTGGCTACAAGCAGAATATAGCTAAAAGGGATGTCTCCATGTCCCCCTGTCTGTATGTCTGAATCCCTGTTTCACTGTGTGTATCTCTGCCTCCATGTCTTCCTGTCTGTATGTCTGCCTCCATGTCTCCCTGTCTGTATGTCTGCCTCCATGTCTTCCTGTCTGTATGTCTGCCCCCATGTCTCCCTGTCTATATGTCTGAATACCCGTCTCACTGTCTGTATGTCTGCCCCCATGTCTCCCTGTCTATATGTCTGAATCCCTGTCTCACTGTCTGTATGTCTGCCCCCATGTCTCCCTGTCTATATGTCTGAATCCCTGTCTCACTGTCTGTATGTCTGCCTCCATGTCTTCCTGTATGTATGTCTGAATCCCTGTCTCACTGTATGTCTGCCTCCATGTCTCCCTGTCTGTATGTCTGCCTCCGTGTCTCCCTGTCTGTATGTCTGAATCCCTGTCTCCCTGTCTGTATGTCTGCCTCCATGTCTCCCTGTCTGTATGTCTGCCTCCATGTCTCCCTGTCTGTATGTCTGCCTCCATGTCTCCCTGTCTATATGTCTGAATACCCGTCTCACTGTCTGTATGTCTGCCCCCATGTCTCCCTGTCTATATGTCTGAATACCCGTCTCACTGTCAGTATGTCTGCCCCCATGTCTCCCTGTCTATATGTCTGAATCCCTGTCTCACTGTCTGTATGTCTGCCCCCATGTCTCCCTGTCTATATGTCTGAATCCCTGTCTCACTGTCTGTATGTCTGCCTCCATGTCTTCCTGTCTGTATGTCTGAATCCCTGTCTCACTGTATGTCTGCCTCCATGTCTCCCTGTCTGTATGTCTGCCTCCATGTCTCCCTGTCTGTATGTCTGAATCCCTGTCTCCCTGTCTGTATGTCTGCCTCCATGTCTCC